TCCCCAGCCCGGGGCAGAGCCCCAACCTAGACCTGTCCGCCAACCCCACGCTCCTGGTGGCTTTCCCTGCCTGCCCTCCTTCACCAGGGGCCTGGAGGGCACCCTGCCCACTGCGGGACAGTCGTCCGGCAGATCCTGTGCCTCGCCAGCACCAGTGTGCCACCCCCACGCTCTCCCCTCCTCCCAGAGCCGAGGGAGGACACTGTCCGGCTCCAGGTGCAGCGGTACCCAGTGGCATCCCTGCCCCGGAGAGGGGGGCAGGAGCCCGGGGGCTAACTTGGTCCGGCGCTGCATGGAGGGTGGAGGATGGGGACTGCCAAGCCTGGGGCAGTTTTTGGGCTCAGAGGGTGGATGATTCCGGCCCTTCCCCAGAAGCAGGACGGCTGCGTCGGCGCTCGCTTGGAGCCAGCGATGCTCTGCAGCGCCCTGGGCTCCCTCCCTGCCTTTCACTTGGGGCTCCCTCCCTGACGGAGCCGGGGGCAGGTTTTTCCCACATGGTTTTGCGACGGGGTAGCAGAGATGATTTGCTCTTCTGGTTTCTCCTTCCTTGCCTGCCCTGCCCAGCCTCGTGCTGAGGGAGCTGGGCGGAGGGGAGGGCTCATGCCGGGCGTTAGAGGAGCCCAGGAGGCCAAAACCCAGCCTGGGGCAGGGACCAGCCGGCCGAGGGAAGGCATCTGCCGGCCCTACCAGCCGGTGTGTCCCTGGGCTGGTGGGAGACGTGCTTGTTGCCCGGCTGGGTCGAAAGAGGAGCAACAGATCCCACTTTCTCTATCGATACCTGCGATATTTGTGACCCCCGTGGCTGGCATCAATCTGAGACTTTCCTCGGTGATGTGCTCGGAGGGGTTTCTCGTCGCGAACACCCGCCGTGCTCCGTGACAGGCTGAGGTTTCAGGCTCGCCCCGGCACTAGTCTCGGCCACAGCCACTTTGCTCAGGGCCTTGTTCCAGGGGCACAGGCATGGGATGCCAGCGGCACGGCACACGGCTCCCTGGAGACATCCTGGCTTCCTTGGCAGCCACCGGGCAACTTTCGACTGTTTCTGGGGTCACCTTCCTGCAGGGGACTGTCCTCACGCCTTTTTAGCATCCTCAGCTTGGAAAGCTCCCGGGCGCACACCCACGGCACTTCTGAAAGTCTCGCAACTCCCGTGACATGGCCCAGGGAACCCACATCCATCCGGCCCTGCGGGACACCCGGGGCAGAGCCGAGACGACTGCCCTGCCTGGCGTTTCGGCGTTTCCGAGCCGACTGCCTGGCGTTTCCCTGTGACCTGGCCACACACCAGCTCTTTTTGGGCTTCCCCCCGGCCGTGGATGGCACTCGTAGTCGTCCCCAACACACCCTGTCACCAACCATCCCGTGGCCGGCACTGGGGTTCGGCCAGTCCCGGTGGTTCATCCCTTGCAGAGCAGAGCAGGGAATTGGGGCTTCCCAGGGTGAAGCAGCCGGAGTTGCACTTGTGCCTCTTCCTTCTGTGCTTTTCCTTCCCCTTCCCCTTTTCCTTCCCCTTCATCTTCCCCCTTTCCCCTTCCCCTATTCCCCTTCCCTCCCACTGCAGTAGGAGCAGGGACTCCAGCTTGCCGAGCCTTTGCTTTTGTTTTTATTCTGTTGTAGTCACAAATTAATCTTTGCTGTTAGGGGATAAAAGCCGGGACAGATGGCTCCGGGGAGAGCCTGGGAGGCCCGAGGCGTAGCGGCCGGCACGCTGCTCTTCCCCTGCGGCTAATGGCATCATCGCTTGCGGGGTCATCACATCGTGCCATGTCGGGCCCCCGGGCCAGGAGTGAAGGTTCACTCCAAGCACCTGAGGAGAGGATGCCGGGGGTCTGGTGGGATGCGGATGGGGGTGCCAGCCCCTCGCCACATTTTGGAGCCCGGTGTCACCCCCACCCGGTGACACCCGCACACCATGCGCCCCTGAGCCGGGTGGGCAATGGCTGTCGGGGGGGTCCACGGGGGCTCAGCTCCATCTCTCCTGTTCCCCGCAGCCGCGAGCCAGGAACCCATCAGCATGGCGGGGAAGTGCGACACCATCTACCAGGGCTTCGCCGGCTGCCTCATCAGCCTGGGGGACAGCATGGCCCAGAGCGTCCGGCGGCAGCGGGAGGAGGGCGGCGAGGAGGCGGAGGAGCTGGACACCATCTGCAAGTGAGTGTCCCCGTCCCCGTGGGAGCTGCTGGGACGGCCGGGGGACCGGCCACCAGCGGTCCCCCTCACCCCTAGCCCGTCTCCCCAGGCCCGGGGACGACTCCCACGCCTGCGCCAGCGAGGTGCTCTCGAGCTGCCCCGAGGAAGCGGCCGCCATCTGGGAATCGCTGCGCCAGGAGTCCCGCAAGATCCAGTTCCAGGGGAACCTGCAGGAGCTGTGCAGCGCCCGGGGACGCCT